TATACACTACTATACACTACACATTATTATACACTAATATACACTACATTACTATACACTATTATACACTACACTCTACCATACACTACACACTATTATACACTAATATACATTACATTACTATACACTATACACTATTATACACTACACACTATTATACACTACACACTACTATACACTACACACTACTATACACCACTATACACGACTATCTTACCTATGTCATTTTTGTCTGTGTGTGTGTGTGCGCGCGCTTGCGAGGGATCTGGCTCTCAAACGGTGGGGTTCACGTTGAAAAATAAATATCCGAGTACCCCTCCGTAAGCCCCAGTATTGTTGTAGCGCGGGCAGGGGGACGGTGGGGTGGGAAGGGTAGCGGGCCCAGCTCCCAGCCTGGCAAGGTGCCACCTCGTCCGGCTGGACAATCCAGGCGAGGCCGGGGGCTCAGCACGGGACTAGGCCTCACCACGCCAATGTTAAGTAATTTTTTTCTCGCTCCTTTCGCTACAGTTACTACTGTAGAGTCCGTATATATTTATATTAATGCGCTTAAGATAGTATTATTATTGTTGTTGCAGCGCGGGCGGGGGGATGATGGTGGGGGGGGGGGTAGCGGGCCCAGCTCCCAGCCTGGCAAGGTGCCACCTCGTCCGGCTGGACAATCCAGGCGAGGCCGGGGGCTCAGCACGGGACCAGGCCTCACCACGCCAATGTTAAGTAATTTTTTTCTCGCTCCTTTCGCTACAGTTACTACTGTAGAGTCCGTACATATTTATATTAATGCGCTTAAGATAGTATTATTATTGTTGTTGTAGCGCGGGCGGGGGGATGATGGTGGGGGGGGTAGCGGGCCCAGCTCCCAGCCTGCCAAGGTGCCACCTCATCCAGCTGGACAATCTAGGCGAGACCGGGGGCTCAGCACGGGACTAGGCCTCACCACGCCAATGTTAAGTAATTGTTTTCTCGCTCCTTTCGCTACAGTTACTACTGTAGAGTCCGTATATATTTATATTAATGCGCTTAAGATAGTATTATTATTATTGTAGCGCGGGCGGGGGGATGATGGTGGGGGGGGCGGGGGGACAGCGGGCCCAGCTCCCAGCCTGCCAAGGTGCCACCTCGTCCAGCTGGACAATCTAGGCGAGACCGGGGGCTCAGCACGGGACTAGGCCTCACCACGCCAATGTTAAGTAATTTTTTTCTCGCTCCTTTCGCTACAGTGACTACTGTAGAGTCCATATATATTTATATTAATGCGCTTAAGATAGTATTATTATTATTGTTGTAGCGCGGGCGGGGGGATGATGGTGGGGGGGGGCGGGGGGGCAGCGGGCCCAGCTCCCAGCCTGGCAAGGTGCCACCTCGCCCGGCTGGACAACCCAGGCGAGGCCGGGGGCTCTGCACGGGACTAGGCCTCACCACGACAATGTAAAGCGCTCGCCCCCTTGCTTCTCTCGCTAAAACTCACGCACATAGGCAGCTGACGTTTCTGAATTGAGTTGCATAATGTTGAAATATTAACGTGTGCTTTTTGTGAAGCTGTGCCAGTCCACTGGCGGTCTGTCCTGTGGTCTGTTGCCTGCTCATGAATTAAAGTCAGTGCACTGACGGTCGATTGTCTACACGGTAAACTTTGCTACTGGCCTGGGTGAGTGTATGCCAGTCTATAAGCTGTTGCCTGCTTCTTTACCTCGCTCAGTGTACCGCCAGTCTTTCACGTCCACTGTCGCCTGCTTTGTAAGGTGCTTACCGTGTTGCCAGCTTATGATGTCGACTGTAGCAAGGCTTAGGTCACTGAGTCAGCGTACTGCCAGTCTATAGACTAGACTGTAGCCTAGTTTATAGACTGTAGCCTAGTTTATAGACATGTCTCTATCTCCGTTTGTCTCTCCATCTCTCCGTGTCTCTCCGTGTCTCTCTCTCCGTGTCTCTCTCTCCGTGACTCTCTCCATCTCTGCGTGTCTTCCTCTCCGTGTCTCTCTCTCTCCGTGTCTCTCTCTCCGTGTCTCTCTCTCCGTGTCTCTCCGTGTCTCTCTCTCTCCGTGTCTCTCCCTGTGTCTCTCTCCGTGTCTCTCTCTCTCTCAGTGTCGCTCTCTCTCAGTGTCTCTCTCTCAGTGTCTCTCTCTTCCTGTCTCTCTCTCTCCCTGTCTCTCTCCGTGTCTCTCTCTCCCTGTCTCTCTCTCTCTCCCTGTCTCTCTCTCCGTGTCTCTCTCTCCCTGTCTCTCTCCCTGTCTCTCTCTCCGTGTCTCTCTCTCCGTGTCTCCCTCTCTCCCTGTCTCTCTCCCTGTCTCTCTCTCCGTGTCTCTCTCCCTCTCTCCCTGTCTCTCTCTCCGTGTCTCTCTCTCCCTGTCTCTCTCTCCCTGTCTCTCTCTCCGTGTCTCTCTCTCTCAGTGTCTCTCTCTCCGTATCTCCCTCTCTCCCTGTCTCTCTCAGTGTCTCTCTCTCCCTCTCCCTCTCTCCGTGTCTCTCTCCGTGTCTCTCTCCCTGTCTCTCTCCCTGTCTCTCTCTCCCTCTGTCTCTCTCCCTCTCTCCCTCTCTCCGTGTCTCTCTCTCTCCGTGTCTCTCTCTCCGTGTCTCTCTCTCCGTGTCTCTCTCTCTCTCTGTCTCTCTCTCTCTCTGCATCTCGCTTTCTCCCTGTCTCTTGATCAGTCTCTCTCTTCCTGTCTCTCTCTCCCTCTCTCCCTGTCTCTCCCTGTCTCTCTCTATCCCCGCTCTCCCTGTCTTTCTCTCAGTGTCTCTCTCTCCGTATCTCTCTCTCTCCGTGTCTCTCTCTCCCTGTCTCTCCCTCTCTCTCTGTGTGTCTCTCTCTCTCTCTGTCTCCCTCTCTCCGTGTCTCCCTCTCTCCCTGTCTCTCTCTCTCTGTGTCTCTCTCTCTCTCTGTGTGTGTCTCTCTCTCTCTCTGCGTCTCCCTCTCTCCCTCTCTCCCTGTCTCTCTCTCTCTCTCCCTGTCTCCCTCTCTCCCTCTCTCCCTCTCTCCGTGTCTCTCTCTCTCCCTGTCTCTCTCTCCGTGTCCCTCTCCCGTGCCAGCGTACCGCGTCCGCCTGGCGCCTGAGCGTCCGCGCCAGCGCCCCCAGCGTGGCGGTGGCCAGCCCCTGGCACCGGCGTGCCAGCTGACGCCGCAGCTCCTCCACGCCCACCCACAGCGGCCCAACCACGATGGCCGGCGGCAGCGACGCCTCCACCCGACGGAGCTCCGCGCGCAGGCGACGGAGCTCCGCGCGCACCGACTCCACGTCGCTCGCCTCCGACACGTGCTCCCTGCGCGGGGGGGGGTGGGACATGCGTTGGTCATGCGTGTGACATGCGTTGGTCATGCGTGTGACATGCGTGGGACATGCGTGGGACATGCGTGGGTCATGCGAGGGACATGCGAGGGACATGCGTGGGACACGCGTGGTTGTAGGTGAAGGACACGAGACGCGGGGGGAGCTATGGGGTAGACACACACACACACACGCACACACACACGCACGAATAAAAAGGCAAAGATCCCCCGTGTAGCCTTAACAGACTGTTGGGGCAAGGTGCTGTTAGCGAGCGGCGCCGGTGAGGGCTACCGGCACCGTGGCACACGAGGGGGGTGGGTGGGTGGCGAGCACCACGCCCGGCCGCCTTTGTCTCCCCAGTGGCGATGTTCACACATCGCACCAGGTGCTCATTTGAGGCCGAGTCGACCTAGGGGAGGCCCCGGACCGGTTCAGGTAACCGTCACCACTGGCGTTCGCCGTGAGGGGGAATTGAACTCGGGATGCCGGGTTCGTAGCGCGGCGTAGCGCTAACCACTACGCTCCCGCTCCCGATAGTGACACACACACACACACAGACACATAGACACACACACAGACACACACAGTGACACACACACACAGACACACACACACACATAGACACAGACACACACACAGTGACACACACACACAGTGACACACACACACAGTGACACACACACACACAGTGACACACACACACACACAGACACACACACACACATAGACACACACACAGACACACACACACAGACACGCACACACAGACACACACACACACAGTGACACACACACAGTGACACACACACAGACACACACACACAGACACGCACACACAGACACACACACACACACAGACACACACACAGACACACACAGTGACACACACACACAGACACACACACACACATAGACACACACACAGACACACACACACAGACACGCACACACAGACACACACACACACAGTGACACACACACACAGTGACACACACACATACACACACACACAGTGACACACACACACAGTGACACACAAAGATAAAGACAAAGATCCCCCGTTTAGCCTTAACAGACTGTAGGGGCAAGTGCTGTTAGCGAGCACCTATGAAGGCCGGAACGGTACACGAGGGGGTGGGTGGCCAGCACCACGCCCGACCGCTTTTGTCTCCCCAGTGGCGATGTTTACACACCGCACCAGGTACTCATTTCAGGCTGAGTCGACCTAGGGGAGGCCCAGGACCGGTTCAGATAATCGTCACTGGTGTTGGCCGTGAGCGGGAATCGAACCCGGGTCGCCAGGTTCATAGCGCAGCGCGCTAACCGCTACACTATCGCTCCCCACACACACACAGTGACACACACACACAGTGACACACACACACAGTGACACACACACACAGTGACACACACAGACACACACACAGTGACACACACACACAGTGACACACACAGACACACACACACACAGTGACACACACACACAGTGACACACACAAACACACACACACAGTGACACACACACACAGTGACACACACACAGTGACACACACACACAGACACACACACAGACACATAGGCACAGTGACACACACACACAGTGACACACACACACATACACACACACACAGTGACACACACACACAGTGAAACACACACACAGTGACACACACACACAGTGACACACACACACAGTGACACACACACACAGTGACACACACAGACACACACACACACAGTGACACACACACACAGTGACACACACACACAGTGACACACACAGACACACACACACACACAGTGACACACACACACAGTGACACACACAAACACACACACACAGTGACACACACAAACAGTGACACACACACAGACACATAGACACACACACAGACACACACACACGTACACACACACACACATCCACAACAACAACAACCGCCATTCGCCACTAAGTTGTGGTGAGGTCACCACGACGCTTGTGCCAGGCCATGTGCACCCTGAGGCCACGTGAAGTGTCGAACGCCCGCTGGCAGGAGGTCACGGGGCAGACCCAGGTGCCACGGGTCGACTGACTGAGACGACTGGCTGATGCACCACCTGTGCCCCCTACTGTGCCAACCTGCTGTGCTTTAGCCCACCCGGCGCTCCACTCGTTGTTGTGAGCGTCGCTCCTCCGCCCTCCGTTGATGTTGGAGGGCGACTGCCTCCAACTGCCCAGTAGCATCCTTCACGAGCCTCCTCCACAGAGGCCGATCTTGACACCGCTGGTACCAGTCATCGGCAAGTCCACTCACCTCCAAATCTTCTCATACCACATCACTCCATCTCTTCTCTAGCCCATGTCATGCCCATTTAGCCCCCTCGATCCGGCCGAACAAAAGCTGTTCAGGCATGCGATGGCTGGGCATGCGGGCTACATGACCCAGCCAATGCAGCCTTGCCTGCCGGAGGAGCTCACCGATGGGACTTTGTCCAAATCTTTCAACGATTTGTAAGCTTCTCACACATTGTGCGAACATGGGTCTGACAATATAGGGTATCTTATAATATTGGTGAACATGCGAACATGGCACTGATAATATATGCATTGTCTTTGAAACTGATTGGCCTACACCAGAGACAGCCACTTTAGCAAGCACCTGTGACAGGAGGTCATAGAAGGCATTTGACTCATTCGACTTGTCTGCATCACTCCACTGATGTTCGTCTTCGGTGGGGGCAAAAGTAACCACGACCACCACAATTCCCCGCCTCCGGTTGATGGGAAGGCGAGCCCAAAGTAGCCTGGGGCTTACAGCTTCCCACACCTCACCGCCACGCTCCCACGCCCCCTTCATTCTTTTGTCCTGAAGAAGAGCCACTCCCTGTTGTTTGGCAGTCTGCTGCCCCGAGTAGAGGACTGTCCACCCCTCATGGTGGCAGGAGCCAGAGCCGGTCCACCGGACCTCCTGAATACCACAGAGATCCAGGCGGTACCGGTCCAGCTCCCGACAGAGGAGCGGCAGCCTCTCCTCCGCAGTGAGCGTTCGGACATTCCACGTGACCACACGAAGTGGTTTTTTGCTGTTTCTGGAGGAACCCCGAGGGTAGAGATTCAATCTCCTGGCTCCGCCAAATGGGGTTTGGCCAGGAGATGTCACAGACGCCTGTCCCCCTTCAGGGCATCCGGCACAAGCACTGTTGGATATATTTTTGTTCGTGGTTTAGTGGTTCTTGGATTGAAGGTGGAGGGGTTACCGGCTCCTCGCACCCATCCAGAGCCTCCTTTGGCCACTGTGGTGGTTACAAACGCCATGAGGGGAATGGCCAATCGCAAATGGCCCTCCCCCCCATGGCACTGCTCACCACAGCATTACCATCCGGTACACACACACACACACACTAGTACACACACACACACACTAGTACACACACACACACACTAGTACACACACACACACACTAGTACACACACACACACACTAGTACACACACACACACACTAGTACACACACACACACACTAGTACACACACACACACACTAGTACACACACACACACACTAGTACACACACACACACACTAGTACACACACACACACACTAGTACACACACACACACACTAGTACACACACACACACACTAGTACACACACACACACACTAGTACACACACACACACACTAGTACACACACACACACTAGTACACACACACACACACTAGTACACACACACACACACTAGTACACACACACTAGTACACACACACACACACTAGTACACACACACACACACTAGTACACACACACACACTAGTACACACACACACACACTAGTACACACACACACACACTAGTACACACACACACACTAGTACACACACACACACACTAGTACACACACACACACACTAGTACACACACACACACACTAGTACACACACACACACACTAGTACACACACACACACACTAGTACACACACACACACACTAGTACACACACTCACACACTAGTACACACACACTAATACACACACACGCTAGCACACACACACTAGTACACACTCACACACACTAGTACACACACACACTAGTACACACACACACTAGTACACACACACACACACTAGTACACACACAGTAGTACACACTCACACACTAGTACACACACACACTAGTACACCCTCACACACTAGTACACACACACACACACTAGTACACACACACTAGTACATAGACACACTAGTACACACACACACTAGTACACACACACACACTAGTACACACACACACACTAGTACACATTAGTACACACACACTAGTACACACACACTAGTACACACACACTAGTACACACTCACACACTAGTACATAGACACACTAGTACACACACACACTAGTACACACACACACACTAGTACACACACACACACTAGTACACATTAGTACACACACACTAGTACACACACACTAGTACACACACACTAGTACACACTCACACACTAGTACACACACACACTAGTAAACACACACACTAGTACACACTCACACACTAGTACACACACACTAGTACACACTCACACACTAGTACACACACACACACACTAGTACACACACACTAGTACATAGACACACTAGTACACACACACTAGTACACACACACTAGTACACACACACTAGTACACACTCACACACTAGTACACACACACACTAGTAAACACACACACTAGTACACACACACACACTAGTACACACACACACTAGTACACACACACTAGTACACACTCACACACTAGTACACACACACACTAGTAAACACACACTAGTACACACACACACACTAGTACACACACACTAGTACACACACACACTAGTACATACACACTAGTACACACACACTAGTACACACACACACACTAGTACACACACACTAGTACACACACACACTAGTAAACACACACACTAGTACACACTCACACACTAGTACACACACACTAGTACACACTCACA